TGGCTACGAACTGCCTCGGCAATTATTGATTCCATAAATTTTCCCACTATGGAGGTTAGGCTTATTGGTCTATAGTTCGAAGCTAAGGACCCGTCACCTGCTTTGAAAATAGGTATCACATTTGCCATTTTCCACTTATCTGGCACCATGCCAGTTTGTAGTGATATGTTGAAAAGATTAGCCAAAGGTGTGCTAAGCTCCTCTTTACATTCCTTTAGAACCCTTGCATATAGTTCATCAGGGCCTGGGGATTTGTTAGGTTTTAATTTATCTATTTGCCTAAGAACCATGTCACTTGTGACCCTAATCGTGCACAGTTTATTATCGTCCTGTTCTACATAATTTATCATTACTGGAATATCGCTGGTATCCTCCTGTGTAAAAACTGAGAGGAAGTATGTGTTAAAAATTCTACACATTTCCTGATCACTGCCAGTGAGCTGACCCGAGGAACTTTTGAGTGGGCCTATCTTGTCCCTGATCTTACTTCAGTATACCTGAAAGAATCCTTTTGGGTTAGTCTTCGATTCTCTTGCAACTTTAACCTTATAATCTCTTTTTGCTTTTCTAATTCCCTTTTTTATTTCTCTCTTTAACTGAATATATCGATTTCTTAATTGCCCCTCTCCTCTTTTGATTTGCCTATATATGCCTCTCTTTTGACCAATCAGATATTTTAATCTATTGTTCATCCATTTAGAATAATTTTTGTTTGATCTGATTTTCCTATTTGGAACATAATTTGACTGAGCAGCTAGAACTATGCCCTGGAAAGCATCATATCGGCAACCTACCTGACCCTTAGTCAGGTCATTCCAGTTCAGCCCACCTAAGTAATTTTTCAGTCCTATGAAATCAGCCAAGCGAAAGTCAGGGACGGAGACTTGATTGCCATTATTAGGGGAATTCCATATATTAAAACTGAGTGATTTGTGATCACTTTCCCCAAGCTCATCATTAACCTCAAGATTATTAATTAGTGTTTACCTACTGGCAAGAACCAAGTCAAGGAGGTTATTTCCTCTAGTTGGCTCTGTCACAAACTGTTTTAAAAAACAATCCTGGATCGTATCAAGAAAGTCACCTGACTCTAAATTTCCTGTCAAATTGCTCCAGTCAATCTGACTATAGTTGAAATCTCCCATTAGCACAACAAGAGGCTTTATCAAGTACAAGGAAACCACGGAACAATACATGTATTTGTTTGATGCTTCTCGGTAATTTTTCCACTAACTTCCTGTATGCACTATAGTCTCTAGCTCTTCTAATTTTTTCACTCACTCACTGTATTTACTGACACATCTATACATATCTCTTATCTCCCTGGTCTTGAGTCGCTCTTATTCTTCAAATACCCCACTGCGTTATTATGGCAACACTATTTATGCCTGACACAACCGTTCACCCTTCCAACGGCCCCCACTAAACACTCAGCCACTATTTCCTTTGTTTTCTTTTCTGTGATCACTTATATTTCCTTTTTTCGGGGCTTAAGTGATTATATGCACTCTTATGCATGCACACATCTATATCCCACACTCTATTCCTTATGGCACAGTCAGAAATTACCACCAAAACACGAGCTCAAACTGCGTGACTCCTCCACGAGTGTGTGTGTGTGTGTGTACTCACCTAGTTGTACTCACCTAGTTGAGGTTGCGGGGGTCGAGTCCGAGCTCCTGGCCCCGCCTCTTCACTGATCGCTACTAGGTCACTCTCCCTGAGCCGTGAGCTTTATCATACCTCTGCTTAAAGCTATGTATGGATCCTGCCTCCACTACATCGCTTCCCAAACTATTCCACTTACTGACTACTCTGTGGCTGAAGAAATACTTCCTAACATCCCTGTGATTCATCTGTGTCTTCAGCTTCCAACTGTGTCCCCTTGTTACTGTGTCCAATCTCTGGAACATCCTGTCTTTGCCCACCTTGTCAATTCCTCTCAGTATTTTGTATGTCGTTATCATGTCCCCCCTATCTCTCCTGTCCTCCAGTGTCGTCAGGTTGATTTCCCTTAACCTCTCCTCATAGGACATACCTCTTAGCTCTGGGACTAGTCTTGTTGCAAACCTTTGCACTTTCTCTAGTTTCTTTACGTGCTTGGCTAGGTGTGGGTTCCAAAACTGGTTGCCGCATACTCAATATGGGCCTAACGTATACGGTTACAGGGTCCTGAACGATTCCTTATTAAGATGTCGAATGCTGTTCTGAGGTTTGCTAGGCGCCCATATGCTGCAGCAGTTATTTGGTTGATGTGCGCTTCAGGAGTATGTGCCTGGTGTTATACTCACCCCAAGATCTTTTTCCTTGAGTGAGGTTTGTAGTCTCTGACCCCCTAGACTGTACTCCGTCTGCGGCCTTCTTTGCCCTTCCCCAATCTTCATGACTTTGCACTTGGTGGGATTGAACTCCAGGAGCCAATTGCTGGACCAGGTCTGCAGCCTGTCCAGATCCCTTTGTAGTTCTGCCTGGTCTTCGATCGAGTGTATTCTTCTCATCAACTTCACGTCATCTGCAAACAGGGACACCTCAGAGTCTATTCCTTCCGTATGTCGTTCACAAATACCAGAAACAGCACTGGTCCTAGGACTGACCCCTGCGGGACCCCGCTGGTCACAGGTGCCCACTCTGACACCTCGCCACGTACCATGACTCGCTGCTGTCTTCCTGACAAGTATTCCCTGATCCATTGTAGTGCCTTCCCTGTTATCCCTGCTTGGTCCTCCAGTTTTTGCACCAATCTCTTGTGTGGAACTGTGTCAAACGCCTTCTTGCAGTCCAAGAAAATGCAATCCACCCACCCCTCTCTCTCTTGTCTTACTGCTGTCACCATGTCATAGAACTCCAGTAGGTTTGTGACACAGGATTTCCCGTCCCTGAAACCATGCTGGCTGCTGTTGATGAGATCATTCCTTTCTAGGTGTTCCACCACTCTTCTCCTAATAATCTTCTCCATGATTTTGCATACTATACATGTCAGTGACACTGGTCTGTAGTTTAATGCTTCATGTCTGTCTCCTTTTTTAAAGATTGGGACTACATTTGCTGTCTTCCATGCCTCAGGCAATCTCCCTGTTTCGATAGATGTATTGAATATTGTTGTTAGGGGTACACATAGCGCCTCTGCTCCCTCTCTCAATACCCATGGGGAGATGTTATCTGGCCCCATTGCCTTTGTGTGTGTGTGTGTGTGTGTGTGTGTGTGTGTGTGTGTGTGTGTGTGTGTGTGTGTGTGTGTGTGTGTATTCACCAGACCAACTTATGTCGGAGAACAATAAAAGCTGAGAAAGGAAAAAAAACTATATAAAAAATTGAAGGTTTAGTTTTTTAGTCATCTCAAGGTTTGAAGTATTTTATATATAGGAAAAAGGAGAGTAAGTAATGGGCAGTGGTGTGTGTTACCCATGACTCTCACAAACTATAAAGAAAGAATAAAACGCATTTCACCTATAAGAGGCTTTATCAAGTACAAGGAAACCACGGAACAATACATGTATTTGTGTAGGTGACGTAACGCTGGGCGAGGCCCTGCCGAGGGGTGAGGCCTTGGTTATGTTTCCTGTATTCTTTCAAAATCGTTTTTGCGACAGGCTTGCCAAAGTGTACAGTCCTCTGTTCGGTGAGTGTTAGTGTGACATGAACAATTGCAGATTTTAGACATAGCCATCTCTGTCATGCTCTTCTTACAGTGAATGCACTAGTTTACATTTCATGAGATTACGTAATTAATTATTGCCTCTTGTTAGGTATAAGAGCAAAACTACGCTCGTGGAGCTCCGTCTTCAATAATTTGTTCATCAAATAATTTTTTTTTTTTTTTTTACAATTTCCAGTGGCTGTAACACTTATTATTTTCATTTAAAGGTGTCCCGTAGCTCGGCTAGTAGCGCACTCAGCTCACACTGAGGTCCGTGGTTCGATCCTCTGTACAGGTGGAAACATTGGCCGTGTTTCTTAAGACACCTGCTGTCTCTTCACCTAGCAGTATATAGGTACCTGGGTGTTAGCTTTCTGGTGTGCGTTGCATCCTGGGGACTAAATTAACCTAATTTGCCAGAAATTCTCTGCATAACCACGGGCTCTCTTGCTGTATATATTATGTCACAGATGTCAGCTATGGTCTGTATAAGCTGTAATAAAAATTATTATTATTTGTAATTTATTCTACTCTGTGAAGAAAAAAATTCATAATAATAATAATAATAATAATAATAATAATAATCTTTACCTCTAGAGAGTACATGATACAGACCTAGTTGACATTATTGGCATGGTTTTATAGAAAGTCCTTGGTTTTGTAGAGCATTTCAAGCAGCCTAAATTAATCTTGTCGCACAGGATGCGACCACAATAATCGGCTAACACCCAGGTATCTACTTGCTGCTAGGCGAACTGGGGCAGGATAAGGAAACATGCCCAACGTTTCACCCGTGCCGGAGATCTAACTCAGACCCTCAGTGTGTAAGCTGAGGACGATACCAGCGAAGCCACTATATTTTTCTTTTTATCTCAATTCACATCTGTGGCTTCTTGTTCCTATTGCTGGTACGAAAACATTGCCTTATATGTGTGTATGCGTGTGTGTATGTATGTATGTATCCCGATATGCTTTTTGTTATTTTTCCGACCGTGAAAGATAAATTTAGCGTGTTAAATCTCTTTACGATTGGTTCGTGGCCAGTAACAAGTGTGCGTGTGTGAGCATAAGAGGTATGAAATCATAAAACGAATGGGAGAAAAGGTTAGTAATAAGTTTTTTTTCCTAACTCTTATCACTGCTCGTTGACTTTACTGTTTCTTGTCTTATCTACTTCACGTTGTATTTATGCCTATTTACCTCCATTCTGTATGTACCGCCCACCAATATCTTTACTTTTAACTCTTCGTAACTACTGCTATTACCACTATTACTACTATTGCTAGTACTACTATTACAGCTACTACTACTACTACTAATAATAATGATAATAATGCATGTTAATATTGTTTTCGTATTTCAGGCAATTCCGCTTATGTTGTTCATCACATTTTTGGAGTTCACTGTTCTTTACATGCTGGGCAAACCTACGAGACTTGGTCAGTTGAATTCGTCCCTCGGCTGTGCTCTCTTCAGTGAAGTTCCCACGTAAGAAATTACTACAGACGTGTTCTCTTAATTGAGTTGTATTATCAGTGACTGAGGTATTCGGCTCACAACCAAAAGAATCCGGATTCAAATCCTGTGTGAGGTGAGATGTATGGGTAAGTCTCATATTACCCCTAGGTGTTCAGTACACGTGGGTTTTATCTTAGGAAGTGGACTTAGGATCCCAATGGAAATATGCTTTACTGCTTTTTTTTTATCCTAGGTTATTAACCCATATATGCTGTAAGGCTATATAGCAGATATGTCGAAGAAAAAGATTACTTTTTAAGGATTATTATCCGTGAGGTTTAGCGCTTCATTAAATATAAAAATTTTAATCTTACACCCGCGGTCCACTTAGTCCAGTGTTCTGGGCACATCCTGGGGAAGCAGGACCCCAATGAAAATAAAGACTACTTGGCATTGGCGGGCTATCGTGAGTTAATCCCAAGAAATAAGCAGCGGCTTATTTCCGTTAGTCCTTAGTTGACCCATGCGTGGATGGAGTCTGCCTGGAAACCCATGCTTCCTTCTCAACGTCCATGCGCTCTGGAAACCTTTGCCTTCCTCAGAAATTCTTGTGCTCCCTGAAAATCCTTGTGGTCCCTGGACACCCTTGCCTCCTCTTAGAAATCATTGTGCCCCCTGAAAGCTATTATGCCTCCTGGAAATAATTGTGCCCCCTGCAAAATTTTGTTTCCCCTGGAAACCTTCCTATGCGTGAATCAGCTATCCTAGGATGCGACCCACATCAGTGGATAAACTCCTAGCTAGGTATCTACTACTAGGTAACAGATTGAGACTTGCCAGTATGTCTCGTCTCGCTCAGGGCTCGACCACGGGTACTTCTGGTTGGGAATCAAATCCATTGCTTGTACCTGTAGCTATAGCCTACAATACAATCGTTATACAGAACCAGAGGTGCCTGACAGCTAAATGTGCCTATGCTCATTTTTGCACTGTGATTTTGTAATTTGCCCCAGGCTGGTAGTGACTGGAGCTTCGTTGATAGGCTACGACTGGATCTTCAAGTTCCGGTTATGGGACTTGCCCTGGGACTCACCTTACACATGGCTCGGTGCCTTCACAGGCATTGACTTCTGCTATTACTGGATCCACAGGGCTAACCACGGTATGAGAAACGCTGTGTTGACGCACTGGATACAAAAAGCCGGCGTAGCAATGTTAGAATGGTAGTCTATTAAATGTTGATCGTAATGCTAGAATACATTCCACTCAAGATTACAAACTGCTGGCTTTATAAATAAAATAATCATTACCTACCAAAATAGAAAAAACTGCAGACCAAATTTAGTTTTATTTTTAAAATCAAAGCTGATTTTCACAAGAATTACTAACTTTACATCAATAAGTTCTTAACCACAAAATACAAATTTAATTTAGTTTTACCCACTCTCAGAACTGAATATCCTGTGGGCTATACATCAGGTCCACCATTCTTCAGAGGACTACAATTTTGGAACGGCTATGCGGAACTCAGTATTTCAGCGAGCTACCAATCTTGCTTTCTACTATCCCCTGGCACTACTAGGCTTACCGCTCCCTACCATCGCCGTTCACATCGCCTTCAACTACCTATTCCAATTTTGGCTTCACACAGAGTTGGTGGGCAATCTTGGTCCAATAGAATGGTTCTTTATAACACCCTCTCATCACCGTGTGCATCACGGTAAGTACTGAGCTACGGCACTATAGATAATTTGAAGTAATGAACTTGATCTACCATAGAGAGATGAACAAATTGTTAGTCTTTACACGGAAAAAATATATGTAGATGAAGCAAATACCGGTAGAAGTTTGAATAAGTGTTAGAAGTTTATTAATGTTAGAACAGGCAATGAAAGCAGTGCTGTATTCTGTCATGAGTAACGAATATGAATACAAAGTATTGTTTAAGTCTGATAATTATATAAAAGAGGCAGGTTGTAGAATCGGTCTCAGCTGCGTCAGTTCAACTTTTCTGAGGGGCAATTAATTTCATCAGAGTAATTTGCACCAAAGTCAGTGGAAATGTCGACAAAACACTGTAGTTAGATCACTACTGGGAAGGATGTCACTCCTGGGAAGGATGTCACTCCTGGGAGGGATGTCACCCTTGGAGGTCAGATCACACCTCGACTTCCCGTACGTTAGACTCATTCTCTGCTCATTGCAAGTGAATAGGTCACACATACTATGCAATATTATTTTAATCATAGGGGAGAGCTAAACCCGTAGGGATTATACAGCGCCTGTAGGGGGGGGGATGGAAGGTATTCAGGTTTAACTCAGGGAACTGGAGCACAGATCCAATTCCCCAGATGAAAAGCCCCCTCACAGCGTCAAGGAACCTCCCTTGATGGGATACTGTAGTAATACTTTCAATAACACAGACCCTAACTTATGCCTAGAACAGATTAACTTGGTGGCACTCGATGTATGCACAAGGCTTATTCCTCTATGAAAAAGGAGGAGTAGATGTAAAATAGAAAGAGACAGGCGCTCCCTTTACAGGCGACGGAAAAGAATAACAGAGCGGCTAAAAGAGGTCAATATATCTGAAATGCGTAGGGAGACACTGGTCAGAGAAATAGCAAGCATCGAACTTAAGCTAAAGGAATCTTATAGGAGTCAGGAATCGCGGGAAGAACTAAAAGCCATAAATGAAATCGAAAGAAACCTGAAGTATTTCTTCTCCTATGCCAAATCAAAGTCGAGAACAACGTCCAGTATTGGGCCCCTACTTAAACAAGATGGGTCCTACACAGATGATAGCAAGAAAATGAGTGAGCTACTCAAGTCCCAATATGACTCAGTTTTTAGCAAGCCGCTAACCAGACTGAGAGTCGAAGATCAAAATGAATTTTTTATGAGAGCCACAGAATTTGGTTAACACAAGCCTATCCGATGTTATCCTGACGCCAAATGACTTCGAACAGGCGATAAATGACATGCCCATGCATTCTGCCCCGGGCCAGACTCATGGAACTCCGTGTTCATCAAGAACTGCAAGAAGCCCCTATCACGAGCCTTTTCCATCCTATGGAGAGGGAGCATGAACACGGGGGTCGTCCCACAGTTATTAAAAACAACAGACAGCCCCACTCCACAGAGGGGGCAGTAAAGCAACAGCAAAGAACTACAGACCGATAGCACTAACATCCCATATCATAAATATCTTTGAAAGGGTCCTAAGAAGCAAGATCACCACCCATCTAGAAACCCATCAGTTACACAACCCAGGGCAACATGGGTTTAGAACAGGTCGCTCCTGTCTGTCTCAACTATTGGATCACTACGACAAGGTCCTAGATGCACTAGAAGACAAAAAGAATGCAGATGTAATATATACAGACTTTGCAAAAGCCTTCGACATGTGTGACCATGGCGTAATAGCGCACAAAATGCGTGCTAAAGGAATAACAGGAAAAGTCGGTCGATGGATCTATAATGTCCTCACTAACAGAACACGGAGAGTAGTCGTCAACAGAGTAAAGTCCGAGGCAGCTACGGTGAAAAGCTCTGTTCCACAAGGCACAGTACTCGCTCCCATCTTGTTCCTCATCCTCATATCCGACATAGACAAGGATGTCAGCCACAGCACCGTGTCTTCCTTTGCAGATGACACCCGAATCTGCATGACAGTGTCTTCCATTGCAGACACTGCAAGGCTCCAGGCGGACATCAACCAAATCTTTCAGTGGGCTGCAGAAAACAATATGAAGTTCAACGATGAGAAATTTCAATTACTCAGATATGGTAAACACGAGGAAATTAAATCTTCATCAGAGTACAAAACAAATTCTGGCCACAAAATAGAGCGAAACACCAACGTCAAAGACCTGGGAGTGATCATGTCGGAGGATCTCACCTTCAAGGACCATAACATTGTATCAATCGCATCTGCTAGAAAAATGACAGGATGGATAATGAGAACCTTCAAAACTAGGGAGGCCAAGCCCATGATGACACTCTTCAGGTCACTTGTTCTATCTAGGCTGGAATATTGCTGCACACTAACAGCACTTTTCAAGGCAGGTGAAATTGCTGACCTAGAAAATGTACAGAGAACCTTCACGGCGCGCATAACGGAGATAAAACACCTCAATTACTGGGAGCGCTTGAGGTTCCTAAACCTGTATTCCCTGGAACGCAGGCGGGAGAGATACATGATTATATACACCTGGAAAATCCTAGAGGGATTAGTACCGAACTTGCACACGAAAATCACTCACTACGAAAGCAAAAGACTTGGCAGACGATGCAACATCCCCCAATGAAAAGCAGGGGTGTCACTAGCACGTTAAGAGACCATACAATAAGTGTCAGGGGCCCGAGACTGTTCAACTGCCTCCCAGCATACATAAGGGGGATTACCAACAGACCCCTGGCAGTCTTCAAGCTGGCACTGGACAAGCACCTAAAGTCGGTTCTTGACCAGCCGGGCTGTGGCTCGTACGTTGGTTTGCGTGCAGCCAGCAGTAACAGCCTGGTTGATCAGGCTCTGATCCACCAGGAGGCTTGGTCACGGACCGGGCCGCGGGGGCGTTGACCCCCGGAACTCTCTCCAGGTAAACTCCGGGTAATAGACTGTGAAATGATCAAGATCATTGTGAATGTATCCTCAAGAAATAAGCAAAGGACCCCAATGGATATAAGTCAAGTCTGACATTTTTGGGTTATCCTAGGTTCTCTACACGTATGCTGCTATGTATGATAATCTATATAACTGTATTTATGTATACCTGAATAAACTTGCTTACAGATTGAGGGCGACTAAAGCATCACAGTTTAGTTAATCCTGGACGTAGACCTACCATTAAAAGTTAGAAACATCTTAAAAATCATTTTGGTTATCACTGTGCCCTCAGGAGCCAACAAGTGGTGTCTGGATAAGAACTACGGCAGTGTGCTCGTCATCTGGGACCGCTTTTTTGGCACTTTCGAAGCCGAGAGAAACAACGAGGAGATTGTATACGGACTTACCAACCAGCCTCAGACCTACAACGTAATCTGGCACCAGGTCTGTAGCTTTCTTTGGTTTCATAAGAGCTTTAATGGAGACTGTATCATGCCAAGACAAAACCATTCTCCATACTAATTTTACAATTATTATTATAATCAAAAGAAGCGCTAAGCCACAAGGGCTATACAGCACTAATTTTACAAATTGTTATATTCTTAAATGTTCTGAACTACCTCACTATTGTACGTAAATCTATTTAATCATTTGTAAATTGAACTACCTCACTATTGTAAGTAAATCCATTTAATCATTTGTAATATAAATAAAAATTATGATTACCCGAAATGCCTAGGCATGCTAGTGGCCTTTGTAATTATTTTATATGTAAACCACCCATTTTAATATAAAATTGCTGAAGTCATATAACAATGGTTATAAATGACAATAATTTTTAAAGGGGTGGACCGGTAAGCCAGCGGAAGGCCTCGGTCAGATGACCAAAAGCGGGTCATCATCTGACTAAGACCCGCGTCAGGAAACATTTGTCCTGTTTCCTGACGAACCTTACCTAACCTAACCCATTTTAATCTCTACAGAGAAATAAACATTTCAGATTCAACGTTTTCTGTGTCCTAGTGTTTGCTTACATGTTTTTTCTAAACCAACTTGTCGGTATTAATTACCAAGGTTTATACCAGTTTAGCTCCTCCTTTCGATTATAATAATAATATACCAGCAATGTGCCCTACTTAATCTAACGTAACCCAAACAAATCCAACCTAAAGTAACCAAATCCAACCCAACTGAATAGTTAAGCAACACTGCTCACATTGTAGTTCTGCACATTCGTCTTGTCCACCAAGTTTGAGAAATTTTGGCGTCTAAGTGTCAATTCGGTTGCATTACACTCGAGAGATATTGTTCTGGTGTTTGGTATTATTGGAACTATATACTTCACCTACCCGGCAAGTCACGTGACCTGATACTAACCGCTGATTGGCTGACTTTCAGATTTACCTCATGTCTTACCAAATACATTCCACTTCCCATAAAAAAAAATAATTTTGTTGCTAATATCTCCCAAAGTTAACAGTTTGCAAAAGAATTATTGGCTGACTCATATTATAATTATTACTATATAATTATTAATGCTATATAATTATTACTATATAATTATTATTAACTATATAATTATTACTAATATATAATGGGAAAACACTAAATCCGTAGGACTCATGCAGCACGTCAGGATGGGGAAGTATTCAATTTTGATCCAAGGAACGTTAGGAGTAACCACCTCCCTGGAACAAAAGTCCTTCAGCATCACAGCTGAGAGTAAACTAATGTTAACAGTATTTTTGAAACTGAGGTTTCTAATCTGTTTATCTTTATTTGTGAATTATTATATGCTTGTTTTATTATGATTATTATAATTATTGTTACTGTTAATCAGTAGGAAAGCGCTAAACTCGCAGGGGTCACACAGCGCTTGTTGAATGGGAAGCAGTCAGGGTAGATTCAAGAGAATTATTATAATCACGAGAGAGCGCTAAACCCGTAGGGATTATACAGCGCCTGTGGGAGGGGGAGTGGAAGGCATTCAGGGTAGGCTCAATTCGGGGAACTGGAGCACAGATCCAATTCCCTAGATCAAGAGCCCCTCGCCATCACCCTTGATGGGTGATTCAAGAGAAGAGATGCACTTCCTGTGATCAAGGACTCCCACTGGTATCGGTGCACTTCCCTTGAGGACATTGTTTCCTGATAATTTCTCAATCAGTCGGTCACTCCTGGATTATAAACCAATATTTTGATTTCATAACACTGAGAACTTATTTTTATATGTTGTAGTTTAAAGCTGTAGCACTCGCAGCATTGTAGGCAAAGTACTACTCTGTATTATAGTTAAATTGAAGTAAAACAAGCTTGTGAAATTGGATATTATCAGATGTTAAAATTATATAGAGCAAGATGAAATGTTGCAGTTCAGTGTGTCATTGCAAGTGTGATGCACGAGCATTTCTGGAAAGACATAGGGAATATTATTAAATTCAAAGAGACTGCTAAATCCATAGGGATCCTGGTCATGGACCGGGCCGCGGGGGCGTTGATCCCCTGAATACTCTCCAGGTAGTACCAGGGTAATAAAAGGAAGTCAGATTTGAACCAAGAATAGGGAGGTTAGTTCCACTTATTTGGATCAAGAACCCTTCACTGGTATCAAGGCTTGATACTAGTTAAGGAAGATAGGGAATGAGTGATAGTGACTGTGTCCTCCTTTGGGTCACCTCATTTTTGTGGGAAACGGCCGAAAATTTTAAATTTCATTGTATGAATAGAAAACCTAAATGGATGTAGGTTTCTTCTAGAGAAAATTTACTTCACAGTTCTTCTACTTCGTGGAGGTGTACCGTAAGGCGAGGAGCATGAGCACCTGGGGAGACTCACTGAAGGCCTTGTTCTATGGTCCCGGCTGGACTCCGGGGATGCCCCGCCTGGGAGACCCTAGCACCTTCACCGACGTCAAGGCTCCTAGGGTCAAGTATGATCCTCGGATGTCCCTGTGGATGTTTCTTTATATCGTTTCACACCTAGCATTGGCACTTCTGGCTCAGCACTGGACAGTGTCCCATTACATGGTGAGATGTCATTCTCTACTTTCTCTTATAAAGTACTTATATAGTGATAGTTTTGACTTACTTTTATGCACAGTTGAATTTACAGACTTGTAACTGTTATCTGGCATCAGCTCATTTCAAATCTCAGTCCAATCTAAAATATACTACCTACATTTGAGAGGAACTGTAAAGGGAACCAAACCTAATAACATTAGTGGACAGAAGATTTAATATCACTGTACAAAATCCTGAGAGGAATTATTAGAGCGAACAGGAACAGATTGTTCAAGAGGTGGGAAACAGGAACACGAGGGCACATTGTAACTGTTATCTGGCATCAGCTCATTTCAAATCTCAGTCCAATCTAAAATATACTACCTACATTTGAGAGGAACTGTAAAGGGAACCAAACCTAATAACATTAGTGGACAGAAGATTTAATATCACTGTACAAAATCCTGAGAGGAATTATTAGAGCGAACAGGAACAGATTGTTCAAGAGGTGGGAAACAGGAACACGAGGGCACAGCTGGAAGTTGACACCACAAATGAGTCACGTGGATATTAGGAAGTATTTCTTCAGCTTTAGGGTGGGCAGGAAGTGGAAAGGTCAGGACAGTGGAGTGATAAAAGCAGAATCCATACATAGTTTAAAGAAAAGGAATGATAAGGCTCTTAAAGTTAGGAGAGTGAAGCTAGTAGTGACCAGTGAAGAGGCAGGGCCAGGAGCTAAAACTTGACCTCTGCAACCGCATATAGGTGACTACTCGATACCTACTCACTGCTAGGTGAACAAGGGCAGCAAGTATCAAGCCCTACACATTTCCATCATTTATTGCTACATATGTTTTAAGATTCATTATTCTAACCGGTTCGATACTGTATTCAAGGGCAAGCACTAAATCCATAGGGGTCATTCAGTGCTTGAGGAAAAAGAAATAATTAGGTTAGAATCAATAGGAAAGATACCTCCAATCCTTGATTATAATTATTATAATCATGAGGGGAGTGCTAAACCCATAAGAATATACAGCACATGTGGGGGGTGGGGATGGAAGGTATTCAGGCTCAGTTCATGGAACTGGAGCACAGATCCAATTCCCTAGATCAAGAGCACCTCACCAGCATGTCTTGTTTCCCTACTGCCACCTCCATGTCTTATTTCTCGACTGCCACCTCCATGTCTTGCTTCTCTACTGCCACCTCCATGGAGGAGTTTGTCTGCGTGTGGAGGAGTTTGTGTGTTCAAGATGAAGTTTTTTTTTTTTTTAACACACTGGCTGTCTGCCACCAAGGCAAGGTAACCCCCCCCCCAAAAAAAAAAAACACTTTCACCATCATTCACACTATGACTGTCTTTACAGAGGTGCAGAGATACATTTAGATGTCACTCTAAACAGCAAATATCCCTAAGCCCTCCTTTAAAGTGCAAGCATTGTACTTCCCACCTCCAGGACTCAAGTCCGGCTAACCAGTTTCCCTGAATCCCTTCAAAAAATATTACCCTACTCACACCCCAACAGCTTGTCAGGTCCCAAAAAAAACACTTGTCTCCATTCACTCCTAACACACTCACATATGCCTGCTGTATGTCCAAGCCCCTTGCACACAAAACCTGTTACCCTCTTCCTCCATCCTTTCCTGTTATGATCCCTACCCCTCCACTACAGATTTACACATCCTCCAAGTTATCCTATTTTCTCCATCCTCTCTAAATGACCAAACCACCTCAACAAAAGAAATGTCATTATTAATGTTATACGTATAGTATAATAAATTTAATATTTTTCAGATGGTGCCTTCCTCTACAGTCTTCTCAGTTATCATTTTTGTGTGCGTGACTGTGAGCGTGATGTCAGCACTGTTTGATAGATGGCCATGGGCACCAGTGGTAGAAACTGCCCGCTGTGCTGCCTGCATACTCTGCTTCACTACTCGCATTATTTTTATCCCAGCTATGGACACTGCTATCTTGGTGGTGTTCTCTGCTTCTCTCTTATATTGGACAATGATGCTGAGTTTCAGCATCATGACAAAGAAGATTAAGTAAATATCATATCACTAGTTTAAACACCACCAAGGTAGGGTAACGAACAAAGAAGAAAGCACTTTCACTGTTACTCATTCACTTACTGTCTTGCCAGAAGGCTGCCAATATCACAGTTCAGAATTACAGGAAAATAAGCCTGTTGAGTTATAGGTAGTAGGTTGGTAGACAGCAACCACCCAGGGAGGTACTACCGTCCTGCCAAGTGAGTGTAAAACGAAAGCCTGTAATTGTTTTACACGATGGTAGGATTGCTGGTGTCTTTTGTTTGTCTCATAAACATGCAAGATTTCAGGTATGTCTTGCTACTTCTACTTACACTTAGGTCACACTACACATACATGTACAAGCATATATATACACACCTCTGTTGCAACCCCTGAATGGGTTACAATGATTATTATGTATATATATAATGTATATTACCTTTTCATTTAATTTTACATTGCTTATATTTGCGATAATAGCTAAATCGTAAATGTATGACTTTATATTATTATTTGACTGTTATATTGTTATTTGACTTATGTTGTTAGGATGTACATAATATGTGCTCAGTTCAAGTCTTGATTGTCAAACTACTGTAATTATCGCTTGTCGCTCATTATACTGCCGGCTTCTGAGCTGTGCTGTCCACGGGGCTATCACGTGATCGAGGGGGGGTGTCCTCACCTCTCGTGAAGTATTCAGTCTGCTCTAGACTCGCTTGGTGGTTGGACAGATTGTCTGTCTCATTATTCTTGTTAGTTCTGTAGAACTCTGTTCACAGAACATTGTATAGACTTAGTGATTTTCGACGTTGTACTGAGGTTGTGTCGCTTAGACACTCTGAGCATCTCAGGTCCTAAGCTATAGCTTCTGACCTAATTTTGTACTGGTTTCTGTGTATTGTCACAGTCGGGTTTTTCCTATGCTGAACTTAGATTCAGTAGTATGGGAGTTTTGTAACTTTTGTGGAGGATCTGCTGATGGTCCCTACTTAGTGTCGTTATATTATCTCCCTGTTCCTGATTCTGTGTCGCAGTCGCATATTGCATTGCTATTGGGCTTAGCATTCTTTTCATTGTTCAAGCAGATTGTTCGGGTTGCCAGTCGGTCAAGAAGTTATTTTATTTGAGGACTTTGTCAGTCACTTGTTTAAGTCTAGTCGAGTCATGAGACATAGCGAACTACTTAGAGCACTTACACACATACACACTTACTTGTACATATTTGTAATATCTTATTAAATGTTAATGTACCAGACGGTACTTAAGAATTATAAATGTGATATGTGCTTTCAGCACAATAATATTGAACTCGAGAGATTGATTTTATTTTGATTGCTGTGATTAATTTAATTTGATAATATACCTCTAGACAACTTAATGATTAATAAATTTATTAAATTTTAATTTCTCTAGTTAGTAGCCTACCAGTTGTAATCCTGAAGCACTATTGAATAATACTGAATTCTAATGGATAATTGGACAAGGATACTGACTACTTGTTACAAAAACCCAGTAACAGGCTGGATGCTAAAAGGGGAGTCCTTTCTAGTATTCACTGGAGATCTCTAAGCTTTTAGAATCGCGTTTTTTGTAACAACCTCTCTGGGTTTTCTTCTATTTTCTTTCTAGTTCTTGTTCTTGTTTATTTCCTCTTTTCTCCATGGGGAAGTGGACTAAAATTCTTCCTCCGTAAGCCATGCGTGTTGTAAGAGGCAACTAAAATGCCAGGAGCAAGGGGCTAGTAACCCCTTCTCCTGTATATATTACTAAATGTAAAAGGAGAAACTTTCATTTTTCCTTTTGGGCCACCCCGCCTCAGTGGGATATGGCCGGTGTGTTGAAAGAAAGAAAGAAGCCTGTTGAGTATACCTGGTAAAGTGTATGGTAAAGATGTTTATGAAAAAATTATAATTAAGCCAGAGAGTAGAAGTGAACATGAACAAGGTTTTAGGATTGTAGGGGGATTTGTAGATCAAATGTTCACAATGAAGCACAGGGTTATACAGGTGGTTTGGACATTTAGAAAGGATGAAGCAAAAAGGATGACTAGGACATATAAATCTGGGAAAGGGAAGAGGTATGGGTCATCCCACGAAGGGTTGGAAGGGATAAGGGAAGTGTTGAGTGTAGAGGCTTGTACATTCAACAAGTTTTATTATCATTATTATTTTTACATTTAAGAGAACTACTGAACTTATAGGAGTCATACAGTGCCTGCAGAATTGGAGGCAGTCAGGTTTGATCCAAGGAAGAGGAGAAAAAGTTCCATTTTTCTAATTAAGAGCCTCCCACCAGTATCAAGGAACATTCCTTGAGGGGCATTAATTCAATAGCTTTCTTGCCACAAGTGTGCAGATATCAAATATCTCAAAGCATCCCAACTCCACAACTAAAGTTCAGTTAACTGGTTCACCTGAATCCTTCATAAATGTTACCTTGCACACACACACACACACACACACCAACATAACTTCAAGTACCAAGAAGCACTTGTCTACACTCCACTCTAACACTATCACATGTCTGCTAGATGCTCAGACATATGTAGTATTGTATAATCCTGAGTAAGGATGGGCTTTGATTAGTAGTTATTCAGATCAATACCAGTATATTTTTGCATATGAACTGTCAATAATAATATAAAATATTTTACAATGAACAAAATGTTAAATAAACTAGAAGTTTAAACAAGTCCTTTATTTCAACAATAGGGAAAGATCAATTATTACAGGTTATGCTAACAACTAATTAGAAAATGAGGCAACAACTAAGCATTCATCTTCTAACTCCCTGATCAAAAAAATATATACAGTTTCATTCCATATACTGTACATGACTTGTGTATATGTAAAAGTGCATGTTGGCACAAACAGTTTTTACTTTGATGAATTGCTAGAAATGATTCATATAGTACCTGCCAGTACTGTATACAACAAAGATCATTGTTTAGTAGACTGCCATGTTTGCTTAACAAAAGAGCAATTGAAAAAATATATCACTATGAAACTGGTACACAACATTACAACAATGAAATGTAGTTATACAATATTACCGTGAGTGTTTTTTAAATATAAAATGTTTACTAACAAGGCATAATTGAAAGGCACAAGAACATTTGATTGTCAAGAGATACAGTAATAATTTAGTATACAGCTTTCAGCCTCTATATTGACACAAAATTTATTTGTAGATGCATCACAGTTGATACTAAAGACTTTTATTGAAGATTGTGCATTAAATTTTTTTTTTGTCCTTATAAAATTTCACTTATTTTGGAAAAAGAAAAATAATCATTTTTATATTTCATTTAGTTATGTGATGGAAAACTGCATTTAGCAGTTTTGATGTCATTTTTTCAAAAACAGTTCATCTGTATCTAGTGTGCTTTAAAATCTGAAAGCAGTGAAAGCTATATTTCTTGTGCACATTCCCTTGAAGGGGAAGGGGATGCCTCAGTGCTGAAGGGCTGCTGATCCAAGAAGTTGGAATTACCCTCCCTTCCTTGTATCAAACCTTTTCATCTCCATTCTACAAGCAATATGTCCTCAGAGTATTTAGCACTTCACCAGGAATATAATCTTTTGAGCATTGTTATTAAGCTGAGGATGTATAGGTGATAGACTTTTGAGTTATGTGGACTCTTACATTACTGATGTCCCTTATTTATAATGCTAATGTAGCTACAACTTCATGCATCTACCAAGCCTGTTACTGTCATGGTTTCCATGGTTATGTTACTGTTAAGTGAGTTCTATGGAGGTACACTGAAAAAATGAGAAATTATCACAGATGATTGAGGGTGGGCTACTAAGCATACACAACCACTCAGGCAACAATTTTACAGTAACACATAAAAATGTCTTTCAGAAGTATATTGCAATTCCTCAGTGTTTTCAAATGTCAAATACAATGCTCCAACACAACTTACATAGTATTTAAATAAGTGTAATGCAAAATGCCCTTAGTTATTATAGCATATAAAAATTCTTTAGTTTAGTGAATAACACTTCAAATATTTCGTTCATCACAGAGCAATAGTGTGATAACAACAAAAGTAGAGAGAGAAATATACAGTTATGCTAGAAACCATAAACAATACTCCAAGAAAATATTTTTTGTAAATACAACTGCTCATTATCTTTTATTACAGTTTAGAAAATAAATAATCTACATATACCAAAATAAAATTCTGGTAAACAAGGAAACTGATACTAGATTCGACTAGAAAAAAAAAAGTCTCGTACAAAAATCATAGTATCAGTCAGCAAATTGTGGTGTACATAACAAGAAATTTTTAATAAATATGTCAAAGTATAATATAGATAAAATTAAACAACTGTTCCAACATAAAAAAAAAAAATACAATTTTATTGATAATAAGGTAATATCCTGAAGAAGAGTATAACATCTTTTTATCCTTTACTAAAACATTGTCACTTCTTATTATCTTAAATATTTAATGGTCTCAAAACTAAAAAGGTCTCTATGTTGTTAACTATAACTTCTCCAAAATTAAATAGAACCAAAGCATATACAAATTGCACTGCTCATTTCTCTATCTTACATCAGGGACAATTAATACGAAATATCACATCGCATTTGAAAAGTTCTTATATACTAAATAAAAATTGTCCTTTAATAATACAGTACCTCAAAATACTTAAATTTATTAGCAATGCTATAACAATAAATTTACATATTAAATTATAACTCACTTACTGAACATCTTATTACAGAGTTCAGTGTTCTTCTTATTCATCACAAACGTTTTACCTGGCACATGAGATAATTTTCTTTTATACTTCCTGAGGACATAATTACTGCCAGGGATACGTTCCAATTTACGCACATTATTTACCACCTCAAAATTAGGTTGCACCTGAAAAGATAATTATATTACTCAAATTATTCCTTGACATTTTGCCTTTTCTAGAATAAATATTTACAAACAATCTCTACAAATACTTAAATGATTTATAGACCACCAAAACTTCAATTAAAATTTATAGTTTCAATAAATATGAAGGAATGAATATCCTATTGTATCAAAAGCTACCAGGCATGGGGCCATAACCTAATTAATGATTTCTAAACTTAGCAACTCTTTCTCCAAAAGTATATTTCCATCTGGGATTGAATTTGTATGCTAAGCTAGCTTCTCAAGGAGCTATAAGTGTATCTTACTGATTCCCCTTAATTTCTAGATATGAATGGCACACTGTTAACGATGTTGATGAAATGATACATTTCTAGATATATATGTATGCTGCATATATACTTGTTTTTGACTTACCATCTGGAGGCACATGATGACTTCTTCATAAAAGTCGAGGTCAGAAATAAAGTTGAGCTGTGTTTGTGCACCAGTGTTGAATTCTATTAGGGTCTGTACAAATGAAGTGTCAACTCGTGCCACTCCCTGTATCACCATGGCTGCTCTGGAAGATTAAAATGTTCTGTTTTGTCAATAATACAATAACATTTATTAAGCACAATTTCCCTTATTCATAGCTTACATAGAATGTTGATTTAACCTTGGGAAAAATATGCAGAAAGGAATTATTAAAATATTCACCAAAAATGTTACTAAACTTGTATAGGTCATAAAGTGCTGAGCACACAAATGATATACAAAACACTGTAAACAAGATTAAAAATATAAAAAATGGGGCCAATAGCATTTTTTTTTTTTTTCAAAACTAAGAGAATTAAGGTTCTCATAATTTGTACCATTTAGTATAAGCAATCCACTCTTCAATACAACTAGCTGCACATAGCATTAAATAAAAAGTTAACGTTGTGTAGTTAACATTTTTTAAATTAATTTTTGACATCTCATCTACATCTAACCAAGGCACACCTCAGGGGAGGTTCCTTGAAATTAGTGATGGGATCTTGATCCAAGGAATTGGATCTGTCCTCTACTGGATTGAACCTGAATGCCTCCCATTTCCCTGGGTGATGTATAACCCCCTATAGGTTAACACTCCCTTCATGAATATAAAAATAATAATAGTATGAGTGCCTCTGCAAAGACAGTGATTATGTGTGAATGATGGTGAAAGTGTTTCATATTTTTTTGGGGTCACCCTGCCTTGGTGGGAGATGGCTGACGTGTTAAAAAAAAATAGTAATCCAACCAAAGTAGGCTTATCCAAAGAAAAATCCATTTATCATCAGACTGAGAAGTGTTGACAACCTCCATCACATGGTTTGCTTAGTATGAAAACTGATTGGCACACCTGCTGTTCAGTGACTTCCATGGCTAATGGTCAGAGGTGCCCAATATGGGTGAGCCTAGACAGTACTGACAGTACCTCTTAAAGGAATTTAACAGTATCAAAACTCTATATAAGGGGCAAATGTATTGACTACCCTTAAAAAACATTGACCTCTATCATGTGAAACCCAACTGCTCAAGATCAGTATCATGATGGAAAGTAAATAAGTAAAACACTGGATAAAACAATCACCAGGAAACATTTATAGAGGAAACATGTGCAACTAATGTGACATTTTTTTTTTTTTTAACAAGTCGGCCATCTCCCACCGAGGCAGGGTGACCCAAACAGAAAATACTTTCATCATCATTCAACACTTTCACCTCACTCACACATAATCGCTGTTTTTGCAGAGGTGTTCAGAACACAACAGTTTAGAAGCATATGCGTATAAAGATACACAACATATCGCTCCAAACTGCTAATATCCCGAAACCCCTCCTTTAGAGTGCAGGCATTGTACTTCCCATTTCCAAGACTCAAGTCAGGCTATATAAAAATAACCGGTTTCCCTGAACCCCTTCACTAAATATTACCCTGCTCACACTCCAACAGATCGTCAGGTCCCAAATACCATTCGTATCCATTAACTCCTATGGAACACGCTCATGCACGCCTGCTGGAAGTCCAAGCCCCTCGCCCATAAAACCTCCCTTACCCCTTCCTTCCAACCTTTTTGAGGACGACCCCTACCCCATCGTCAGTAATTCTACCTTTATTACTAACACTTATACAGTACACTTTTTTTTTTTTTTTTTTTCAACAAGTCGGCCGTCTCCCACCGGGGCAGGGTGACCCAAAAAAGAAAGAAAATCCCCAAAAAGAAAATACTTTCATCATCATTCAACACTTTCACCACAGTACACTAATATAAGGTAAACCTAGGTAGTAGGTTGGTAGACAGCAACCACCCAGGGTGGTACTTCCATCCTGCCAAGTGAGTGTAAAACGAAAGCCTGTAATTGTTGTGTTTGATGGAAGGATTGGTGGTCTTTCTGTCTCATAAACATGCAAGATTTCAGGTACGTCTTGCTACTTCTACTTACATTAAGGTCACACTACACATGCACATACAAGCATATATAAAGTGAACATAGAAAAGAGTAAGGTGATGAGGGTGTCAAATGATTTAGATAAAGAAAAATTGGATATCAAATTGGGGAGGAGGAGTATGGAAGAAGTGAATGTTTTCAGATACTTGGGAGTTGACGTGTCGGCGGATGGATTTATGAAGGATGAGGTTAATCATAGAATTGATGAGGGAAAAAAGGTGAGTGGTGCATTGAGGTATATGTGGAGTCAAAAAACGTTATCTATGGAGGCAAAGAAGGGAATGTATGAAAGTATAGTAGTACCAACACTCTTATATGGGTGTGAAGCTTGGGTGGTAAATGCAGCAGCGAGGAGACGGTTGGAGGCAGTGGAGATGTCCTGTTTAAGGGCAATGTGTGGTGTAAATATTATGCAGAAAATTCGGAGTGTGGAAATTAGGAGAGGTGTGGAGTTAATAAAAGTATTAGTCAGAGGCAGAAGAGGGGTTGTTGAGGTGGTTTGGTCATTTAGAGAGAATGGATCAAAGTAGAATGACATGGAAAGCATATAAATCTATAGGGAAAGGAAGGCGGGGTAGGGTCGTCCTCAAAAAGGGTTGGAGAGAGGGGGTAAAGGAGGTTTTGGGGGAAAGGGGGGCTTGGATTTCAGAAGCGTTGCTGGCTGTTAGATGGAGTGAATGGAGACGAATGGTATTTGGGGACTGACGTTTGTTGGAGTGTGGGGGGGAAATTTTTGTGAAGGGATTTAGGGAACCGGTTATTTTCTATGTGGGGACTTGAGTCCTGGAAATGGTAGTACAAGCCTGCACTTTAAAGGAGGGGTTTGGGATAGGGCATTTTGAGGGATATGTTGTGATCTTTATATGTGAATTCTTCTGGGAATGTTGATTCTGACACCTCTGCAAAAACGGATAATGTGCAAGTTGGTAAAGTGTTGAAGATGATGAAAGATTTTTTTTTTGGGGGTTTTTCTTTTTTTTTGGGTCACCCCCCTCTGGGAGACAGCTGACTTGTTAAAAAAAAAAAATATATATATAAAAAATTTTTTTTTTTTTTTTTTTTTTTTTCAACAAGTCGGCCGTCCCCACCGGGCGGGGGACCCAAAAAAGAAAGAAAACCCCCAAAAAGAAAATACTTTCATCTCTTCACATTTTCACCACACTCGACATTATCACTTTTTTTTGCAGAGGTGCTCGAATACAAACAGTCTAGAAGCTAAACATAAAGAACACAACATATCCCTCCAAAAACTGCCAAACCCCAAAAACCCCCCTTTAAAGTGCGGGCATTGTACTTCCCCCATTTCCGGACTAAAGCCGACTATAAAAATAACCGTTTTCCCTGACCCTTCACTAAAATACCCTCCCCACCCAACGATCGCAGCCCCAAGTACCTTTGTCTCCTTTCACTCCTATCAACACGCTCACGCCGCTTGCTGAAGGCCAAGCCCCTTACCCACAAAACCTCCTTTAACCCCCTCTCTCCCAACCCCTTTTGAGGACGCCCCTACCCCCCCCTTCCTTCCCCTATAGTTTTTTTTTGCTTTCCAGTCATTTTACTTGTTTCCTTCCTCTAAATGACCCAAAACCCCCTCAACAACCCCTTTCTGCCCCTTTACTAATACTTTTTTTCTCCACCCTTCTCCTAATTTCCCCCCTCCGAATTTTTTGCTAATTTTACACCACCATTGCCCCTTTAAAAAGCATCTCCCCGCCCCCAACCGTTCCTATATAGGGAGTAGGTTGGTAACAGCAACCACCCCGGGAGGTACTACCGCCCGCCAATGAGTGTAAAACGAAAGCCCGTAATTGTTTTACATGATGGTAGGATTGTTGTGTCTTTTTTGTCTCATAAATACAAGATTACAGGTAAGTCTTTCTCTTCTACTTACACTAGTCAACTACACATCAGTACAAGATATTATACACACCCCTCTGGGTTTTCTTCTATTTTTTTTCTAATTCCTGTTTTGTTTTTTTTTTTATCTCCTGGGGAAGTGGAACAGAATTTTTCCCTTAAGCCCTGGTGTTTTAAGAGGCGACTAAAAAAGCCGGGAGCAAAGGGGGTAGTAACCCCCTTTTCCTTATATATTTAAAATTTTAAAAAGGGGAAACTTCAGTTTTTTCTTTTGGGGCCCCCCCCTCAGGGGGTACGGCTGGTACGTTGAAAGAAGAAAGAAATATATATATATTATATAATATAATATAATTTTATTTTATATTTATATATTTTTTTTTTTTTTTTTTTTTTTTTTTTCAACAAGTCGGCCGTCCCCACCAAGCGGTGACCCAAAAAAGAAAAAAATCCCCCAAAAAGAAAATACTTCATCATCATTAAAACCCCTTTCACCACACTCGCACTTATCACTTTTTTTGCAGGGTGCTCAGAATACAACAGTCAGAAGCATAAACATATAAAGATAACAACATATCCCTCCAACTGAACGCCAATTATCCCAAACCCCTCCTTTAAAGTGCAGGCATTGTACTAATCCCTTTCCAGGACTCAAGTACTACTATAATGAAAATAACGCACCGGTTTCCTCCCTGAATCCCTTCACTAAATATTACCCCTGCTCACACTCCAACAGATCGTCAGGTCCCAAGTACCATTCGTCACCATTCACATCCTATCTAACACGCTCACCACGCTTGCTTGAAGTCCAAGCCCCTTACCCACGAAAACCTCCTTTAACCCCCTCTCTCCAACCCTTTTCGAGAGACGACCCCTACCCCCCGACTTCCTTCCCCATTAGATTATATGCTTTCCATGTCATTCACTGTGATCCAATCTCTCTAAATGACCAAACCACCTCAACAACCCCTCTTCTGCCTCTGACTAATACTTTTATTAACTCCACCAACCTTCTCCCTAATTTCCACACTCCGAATTATATATTTCTTTCTTCATTTCACTACCTGCCGATATCCACACTGAGTGGGGTGGCCCAAAAGAAAAAACTGAAGTTTCTCCTTTTAAATTTAGTAATATATACAGTAGTAAGGGGTTACTAACCTCCTTGCTCCTCCCGGCATTTAGTCCGCCTTCTTACACACGCATGGCTTACAGAGGAAGAATTCTGTTGTAGGTTGGTAGACGCAACCA